GGTGGGGCCGGCCGGGTCTGGGTCTCGCGCGATTTCAAGGTGTGCACGGGTGGGCAGGGACTTGACTCTGGGTCCCGTGGCACACCCCAGACTCTGACAGGAGGGAGATTTTTATATACATTTTACTAATTTTCTTTTGTCTCTGACACTTCTATTATAGAGAAAGGGCAAACAGCAATATTAAAATATTTCCTCTAATTAATTCCATTTTAATGTGCACGAATTTCATGCACCGGGCCACTAGTATGAATATAAGGACCAAACTATTAGGCTGTTGATGAAACACTAGCAAACACCCTAAATGGGCAAAACAACCCCAATGTCCACCAGTAGGGGGAAAGGTGAGTTAATAACAGTGTATCTGTCAATAAAGAAATATCCAAAAGAATGAGTCAGACACATATGTATCGACTTGAGAGATTCGTGGTGAAATGAAAAAAGCAGATTTCAAAGTAATACATATAATATATATGATTCCATTTTTATTTTTTTAAATCATCCCCTTCATTTTTTTCTCCAAGAGGATATTAAATTGTTTATTGATTACACATGGTAATGGATGATACACAGGTTTCATTCCCATCTGTAATTTTATCTGATGCTGTAATTCAGTGTAGATATATTGCACAGGATAAGTCAACAATCAGTAATAACCTAATAAACTCCATGACTCTGCTTGGGCGACCCTTTTAACGGTGAACTCCAGGCCCCTACACAGTAGATGTCAGTTCAACACACCTGGGTTTCTGAAGACACTGGCTTCTGTGCCCAGCAGTTTCAGATGGAACCTGACATCACTCTCAAGTGACTCCGACGTCACACCTTTGGGGTAATTTACCAAGATGGCTTCAGAGCAGCCTGGCTTTACCCAGCACATGTAATAAAAGACATGTTCAGCCCTAACCGGTTTGGCTCAGTGGATAGAGCGTCGGCCTGCGGACTGAAAGGTCCCAGGTTCGATTCCAGTCAAGGGCATGTACCTTGGTTGCGGGCACATCCCCAGTAGGAGGTGTGCAGGAGGCAGCTGATCGATGTGTCTCTCTCATCGATGTTTCTAAATCTCTATCCCTCTCCCTTCCTCTCTGTAAAAAATCAATAAAATATTTTTTTTAAAAAAGACAAGTTCACTCGGTGTCGTGATCCGACTATTCCATTTAGCCATCAACAGCATGGTGCAAAAAATCTCCATCAAAACCCTTTGTCGGAATGCTTTCCACTTTCCACAGAACAGAAACTAAAATAACCTGTTACACAATTAGTCACAAGCACAGTCCTCGAGGTTTTTGCCCTTTCACATGAGTGTTGTCTAAACCAGCGGTCGCCAACCTTTCAGACCTCACAGACCACCAGTGGTCTGCGGACCACCGGTTGGCGACCGCTGGTCTAAACCACGTCTTCTTGGTAGCAGCGAGGCCCTGCCACCACTGAGCTTGGCTGCGTTCACAAGTCGCTGTAGCCTGCAGCTTCCCTGGCCCTTCTCTGCTCTCCTCTCCTGCTGAGCATTGTTTCCCGGTAATTAAACCTGCCGCTGCTGGAAGCGCCACAGCCACCTTGGTTTCGTGGTTTGGCAAAGTGTTCGCTTCCACCACCATAGGAGCCAGAGCTTCTGCCTCCAAAGTTTCCTCCTTTCATGGGTCCACAATTTGAAGATGCCAAAATCACTGTAGCTTCCGCCACCTCCAAAACTGCTTCCATCATTACCAACCCATGACAGCTACTGTCCCCACTGCCACCAAAGCCACTCAGCCACAAAGTTCCCTCCACGACCAAAGTCGTCATTCCCACCAAACCACCTCCATGGCCACCTCTGAAGTTTCCAGAACCCTTCGACCTCTTGGGCACTGGCCATCTCTTGCTTGGACAGGGCTCTCCCTACTTCTCAGTGTGGCCATTCGCAGGATGGTATTTCTGAATGACAGTCTTGTCTATGGAGTCAGGTCACCAAAGCCAACCTCTCCTCTCGCCACTGCCTGGCTCAGTCATGGTTTCAATCACTCCATCTTCCCACAGTTCAGAATAGCCTGTTAGGTGAGATCTCCTGTGTCTTCTTCAATGCAGCCAGCAGAAATCTTCCTCACAGTGCGGTGGGGAACAGGTCTTTGAGATTCCTCTGGACACAGCCCTTGCTGACCTGGTATTCGTGGCTGCATCCACCTGTTTGGCATCATGACAAACCCAGAGCTTCAGGGGCGCTTGGTGATTGATCTCATCACAGCCTGTGCCCCCTGGCTCAGAAGGGCTCCTCCGACTCACATAGTTTGTTTCAAAGCTCAAACCTCCGATGAAGAGCCTTGACAGCTATTGGCTCTTTGGGAGACTCGGACTTAGTAGGGTTGATGACTGCGGGAGGGGAGACCAGCGATGCTGACTCCGCGGCTCCACGGCAGAAAGGAGTGATCTAACCAATGTATCTGCCCTTTTTTTAAATTGATTTTAGAGAGAGGAAGGTGGAGAAACACCAATTTGTTCCACTTCTGCATTCGTTGATTCCTTCTTGTATGTGCGTTGACTAGGGATCCAGCCCACAATCTTGGTGTATGGGGACGATGCTTAACCAACTCAGCTACCTGGCCAGGGCCTGCCCCTTCATTTTTAATTTGAGTCAACTGAGCCCTGGGTACAGGCTGATAAGCTCCAGCAACCTCTGGCAGAGGCAGCACAGGTCCTGAGACCACATCAGCCACTGGGTGGGAGGAGGGGGACCAGCAGGACAGGGGGGGCCCTCCGCGTGGCTGCCCGGGGCTGGGGCAGGGGCAGGGGCATGGGGTGCTGAGAGCCAGCTAAACAGTAGTAGCCCCTGGAGGGCATCCATCACCACTAACGGGCTTTCTGTGTTGCCTCTGGTTTTTCTCCCATGGACCAGCCGAGGGACGTCGGGTACCTGGCCCAGCACCAGCTCTTTGACCAGGTAGGTCTGAGACCTTGCTCCTCTGCCCTTCACTCTCAGCTTCCCTGCTCCCTTCCTGGGCTCTGACCCCAGAGGGCAGCAAAGGGTAGCAGCCTCATTTGCCACCCACTGGTGCTTCTCCCTGCAGAGCAGACTGGCGTCCTGTGCATCGCCCTCCTCACCAGCAGGTGGCAGGAGAGCTGGCAAGGCCACCAGTCCTGAGAGCCCAGGGCCCCAGGATGGCGAAGGGGGTGGAGCAGTTGGGGGAGTCCACAGCTTCAGGTGTGGTCAGAACTGGAGAAGGAGTCCCGGGCAGCCAGGCAAGGGCGCGTCGCTGCCTTCCCTGCAACAGCTTTCTGGGCAGGTCCTGGCACCGCCCTTACACGTCTCATGTCCCCGGCAAGGCTCTCCCCACCCTGGGCCTGCGCACTCGTGGCAGGGGCCGGGTTTGACTCCCTGGGTACCCAGCCCTGGTGGCCGGATTTAAGGCCCCGAGGACACACCTGCTGAAAACTGAATGAGGAAGGGGGCGCCGGCTGCAGCTGGGAGGAAAGGGCTCAGCGAGGCCAGAGGCAGGAGGAGCTCCCAGCAGGCAGTGCCTCACTCAGAGGCCAAAGGGGCCAGTGGGACGGCCGTGTTGGGTACATCAACCAGCCTGGGAGAGTTTGTCCAGAATTGCAGAGCAAGGAGCCGGCGAGGAGGGAGGCTGGGCCAAACTGGGGAGGGCCTTGAATGCCAGGCCAAGAACTCAGATTTATCTGGAAAACAACAAGGAGCCCCGTGAGGTTTTTCACAGGAGGGTTCCTAGTAAGAGGCAGTATTTCCAATGGAATCCAGCAGGACAGCCAGCGAGCCGGGGTACTTGCGAGGGACAGTGATGGGGGGCGGGGGGAAGAGGGAGGGACACAGCGTAGGGAGCAGAGGTGCCGCTGCCACAAATGAGCGCCTGTGAACAGACAGCAGAGCGTGACCCTGGCCAGCATGGGCACCACTGGGAGCTCCCAGCCATGTGGCCTCCATCCTGGGGCTCGGGGGCTGGGCTCGAGGTGACG